GATACCTGGACCCAAACTGGACACAAGAAAAATCGTCACCACCACCGCCACCTTCATCATCCTCCTCCTCATCACCATCATCATCTTCCTCTTCATCTTCTTCATCACTACTGTCTCCAGAGAGTGCGAGGAGGAGGAAGGAGAAAGGGCTGCCGTACAGACTACCGTAACAAAAGCAAAACAGGCCATCAGGGAAGAAAAGAAAACAAAAGGTAGACGCTTTCGCAGCTGTGCTCCTCTTAAAGAACTCTTAAGCGGAAAGCTTTGTCCACTGACATGCAGAAAAAGCTCGCTGAACTACAGAAGCATAGAGCTACATTTGAGAGAGGGGCACACTAGATTAATAGAATTCTGATACTGTTTCTTTGTAACAGACTGAAATTTCATATCGGCAAAACATCACAGTATCAAGGCAGGAGCACTGGTCCAGCCCTGGTCACCAAGGGGGATGGGAACCAGGACCAGTTTTACTCTCAACGCTCCATGGGGTCTGCCACATTTCAACTACCCTGGGCAATGGAACAACAAACATCAGCCCGCAATGGTATGTGAACCCCAGCTCTCAAATACACCATTGACCATAGTCTCTGAAATTCACTGGCAATGAGGAATGCCGTGTGATCTGGATTTCGAAAGCGAATTCATTGCCGTCTTCACCCTTCAGGAGGGAGGAAGACTGAGGCAGGGCGGGGGTAGGAAAAGAATCCCAAATCCAGCAGCCAATACACTCAGATGTTATCCAAGCCCGGCAGGCGCTTGGGGCAGGTGCCTACCAAACGGGTGAGCCACGTGGGTTAAGCACCCAGGACAGACAGAGCCACAAAACTGAGGTCAGCGTCACACAGCACTTCCTCTAGCCTGTGTTAATGTCCTTTGCCTGCACTGCAAACATATACATAGGTACGCGTACACACACACACTCCTGGTGGATAAATACCTAGGAGACGTCCCGAGGGAGGAAGGGCGTCTGCTCATGGCACGGGGGGAGGCAGACAGTAAAGGTGCACCCGTGGCAGCGGGTCTCTGTTGGGAAGGAGAATCGGCAGGCACTGCTTGTGGGTTACTAGCGAGGTGTGGTGAGCTGGACAGAAGGGAGAGGCCTGAGGGCCGTGGGGTAGGAGAACCTGAAGTGGCCCAGGGGTGGGCGACAGTGTAAGGGCGATACCGTGGAGAGGAGGCTTGGCTCCCTGCAGCCGTTCCAGAAGCCGTACTATGAGGACTGAGGGAAATGGAAGGCACCGCCGCCTGGCTGGCTGCCCGGGAAGGTGCAGCAAGAGCGGGGCTCATCAACGGCACTGAGCTCCAGGCACTGGCACTGGGAGCAGGACTAGTCTCATAGAGGCTACAGGCGTTGAGAAAGGGAAGACAGAAGAAAGGGTGAGGGGTACACTTGAGATAAAGTCACTTGAATGGAAAACACCAAACTTTCGAAGAACGACAGTTACATTTCATATCTCTTAAGAGTTCGAGCATATAGATCTGCATCGAGACAATTAGAATCTTTTTTCTGTACTCATCTATTACTTAATTATTCCAAAGAATGCGGTAAAATACACAGGTATTTGTTTCGGAAGTTTAGTTGACCAGTATGGTCTGAGCAAGGAAAGCCAAAATACAACAATCTGGCTAAGACAGTCTCGCCTCCAATGACAAAACACACACACACAACTGTGAGCTCTGCCGGAAGCTGCCCGACGTGAACCTGTGACTAAACATCCGTCGTCCCCACCCACGCCACAGCCATTCATACCCATCAGATGTACGGGGAGAGTGCCACTGACCTAGACAGAGAGCTGGCACTGAAGGAGCCCAGGCTGCAGAACATGGGGCTGGTTCCTGGGTTGGAGCCAGTATTTAACATGAGATTTCTGTCTGGTGACCGAGCTGCTGCTGCGATTGGCTGCGATGTTGCTGTTAGACTGGCAAACGGGTTTTCATCTCTCGTCTGAGTGGACATCATTAGCACTTCCATTAAAATCTGGCCAATCAAGTCTTTAAAATCGGAGAACACTGTTGCAAAGGCAAAAGATAGGAGAGGTTAGTTACACAGGGTGCTTCACACCCAGCATCCCTGAATAAGCCAAAGGGATCAGAGATGCTCCACCAGGTGGTAACCTGGACCACACATCTCCAGTGGGAAGGAAAGAATAGTGTCCCCCCTCCTCCCCCCGCCCACTCCACCAAATACATGAGTGGGAAAGCTAGTGAAATCCAAATCAAGTGTGGAGCTTAGTTAAACAGTCCCGTTCCAGTACCAACCCTTATTTCTTAGTGTTGACGTTCACATTAGGGGGAAGTGGGTGAAGCAGATATGGGGACTCTATACTACCATTAAATCGTGTCTATAAATCTAAAATTAGTTCAAAATTATTTTTTAAAATGACTCACTATTGAGATGGATATCGTTCTTTCTCTCTCTAGATACACAACGTTCTTGGGGAAATTCCATTATCTTTTTGTATTTCCACTATCTATTTCATTATCTTATTTTTCCGTGAACTTTTTAACACCCCCCCTCACATATATATAAAACTTACATGGACTTGTGCATACATAAAATAAATATATCAACTGATTAAAACAAGTCTTCCCCAACGACAGCGGCTAGCTTATCGAACGACACCTGGGTTAATGTTTCTTGGTTTGTATTTGTTTTAGATACAGAAACGCTATTAAGTTCAAAGTTCAAAGATTTTAAGAAGGGCTCTCCAGTAAGTCAGTATCTATATTCTCGCTTCCTTCTGATTCTGGTCTTTACCTCGGCTATTTGAACAAAGCTTTGATGTCCCTACACAACGAAATGGTCTAATCAGCATAAATCTTTATCTTACACACATGCAGGGCAGATTTCAGGAACTTAGTGTTTGTAACAACAGGGGCGGGCTTTAGGCACCCTGGACACTGGGCTCAGCTCTACAACCACAGTGGGTAAGAGGAACCAGTACCATCAGAAAGAAAGGAACTTTCAGGGGGCGGGGAAAACTGTTTTTTGGGGGAGGATCCTAGAAGGGAGGCAGGATAGGAAAAAGTGTGGGCCTTGATATTCACTCATTCATTTAAGAGATATCTGCTGAGGGACTTCCATGTGTAAGGTACAGGGCACACGTAAGTCAGGAAAACAGGGAGTTTATATTCTAGAGTTAAGCTGCAGAACAGCGGCTGCCCCACCCCTGTCGAATGTCCAGAGAAAAAGGATAGTGCTCTATCACCCGCAGTGCTCTTAAGGGCTTTACTGCTTTGTTAGAGGCGGCTTAGCATACAGCCTTTGAAAATACAATCTTGAAAGAGCAAAATATCATTGACAGATCTGTTTCCCTGTCCACACATGACCTTTGGGCACCCACTGCAGGGACAGGTTGGATAGAGGCCTGCTCTATCGGGATCTCTAGGCTCCTCCCAATACATGCCTCCTTTATGCACATTCGAAGCGAAGGAAAAGACGTGAACCCTGGAACAATGGGAGCCATTAAATGATTAATGTCATTTTCTTCACCAGAAATCACGATGGTAAAAGAGTTTACCAATACGATCAATGGGAAGGGGAGAAGGTGGCCAGAAGCAGTGTCTTTCTCCCAGAAGCATGTGTGCGATTAAAAGCAAAGGCCCTGAAGCAGGCGCGAGGGCGAAGGGCAGACGTGAGCGCTCTCCAACTCTTCAAGGCTGGAGAACGAGCCTCGGCGCTCGGCCTCACCTTCTTTTGGGTTCTGCTTGAATTGCGCAGAGAGAGAGGAGAGAAAGATGACGTCCCGGTCTCGGTCCTTCCAGGAGACACGGAAGATCTTACAGACCAGCTGTAAGGCCTGCTCTTCGGACACCTCAGAACCCGAGGCCGGCTCCTGGCGAGGAGGACATGCAAGTAGTTAAGACATTTTAATAGAAAGGCTTTACTCTGGGTTGCGAATTTCTATCTTACTCACTTATGAATGGAGTTACTTTAAAAATGCAGAACAAAACCGAGAACTATTTAGCTGCTGCCTTCAGAAGAATTAACCGTGTTGCTATGGCTTCACTGCTGCAGCAGCGAGGGCTCCCGAGCAAGAACATTATCAGGAAGCACCAAGAGGAAGGAGCACACTACAGGGGAGGGAGGGGTGGAGGGAGGGATGGATGGGTACAGAGACAGATTCTATTTATTTACTTCTCTGAATTCTAAAGGACCAGGTTAACATTTTAAGTACAGTACAAACACAGTTTCCCTCTAGAAATTTCTCCAAAATATCATATATGGAAGAACTTTGCAAACATTACAAAAATCACACAAAACAAAGTATCACACCATTAGGAGGCTACAGTTAAACTTCTAATAACCATTGATAAGTTTTGCTAAATGAATCTTAATTAGTTACTGAGTAGGAAGTAACTCAATTACCAATGTCATTCTAAACAACAACATGAGCTCACTCTCTCCACCATCTGCACACACTTTCTTCCCCGAAATGTCGGAACCAGGCTCAGATGTAACAAAATATAATGGGCTCCATTTTTCAAAAAGCTTTTACTTATTGGTGGATTCTACATATTCTTGCTTCAATTCCCAGCTGTCTTCCTCAAAATACTACTTACTTCGGCAAAATACCAACAGATAATAAATTTCTAATTAGCTATGAAGCAACTTCCTTGTACAAATAAAATTGACTGATAAAAAACACGGACTTGAAATAAAGATAACTGAAGGATCTTAGCAGATTTTTAAAAATGGAGCTGTATTTCCAAAAGCAAACCCGCTGCTCGTGAGTAGATTCTGGCTTACAGAGACCAGGAAGGGCCGCGCAGGGCCGCCCCACAGCATTTCCGAAGCTACAGGTCAGACAGCACATCTCTGTGTCCCACGGAGCAGGCGGTGAGTTGGAATTGTCACCTTTTAGTTAACGGTCAAGGAAGGCTGAACCACTGTGCCACCAAGGTTCCTTAAGGGCCACTCAGGCTACCCACGTTCCCTTCAGTGGGATTGGGTGATCTGGGGTGTCTCGTGCTACAGAGACTTCCGAGAGCTTCCCAGGCACGAGCCCTCGCTCACAGTGGCTGTGCTAAACCTGCAGCAAGCGCCTCATCTCATACCAACCTTGTCGCTGAGGCTCCTCTTTTCTCGTCGATCGCTTTCATCAACCTCCATATTTTCAATTCCTGAATCCACGTCCACCTGGGACATGCTTCATATATAAATGACAAATCAGTATTTCACCTTTTATAGACTACAGACTCTTGGCTGCAGATTAAGAAAAAGTCTCAAAATCAAAGTTAAAAGAAATCAAGCAGGAAAGCAATACAGGTTCCTCTCTTAATCATATTTTAGAGTTCTTCATCTATGTAAGGAGATAAACATTTTCTCTCTTACACGTTACGAATGTTTTCCCCAGGTTATAATTTTCTTGGGCTCACTTAAAAAACAAACAAAAAACCCACGACAGATTTTCTGTATACACTGTTTTAAAGCGATATGAAACTCCAGAAACAGACTACAAAAACTGGCTACATACATATATTATTTTTCCCTTCATTTAATAGCCCCAGCACCATTTATCAGAAATATCATCTTTTTATACTAATATGACAGATCTTATGTCAAATTTTCCTATGTGTGGATCTATTTCTGCACACTTATTTCTGGTCCATTAAACAAGTTTGGAGCCAGCACCACACTGTCTTACTTAAGAGCACTTCCCAGAGAGTCTTGATATCTGCTCAGTGGCTCCCTCGCCTCGCACTTCTACTTCAAACGTGCGTCCTGGTCACTCTTGGCCCTCCGTGCTTCCATTCAAACTTAAGAATCGGCAAAATCCTGCTGGGGGGGGTGATGAGAATTTCACTGATTCTAGAGATCCATTTGGGGAGAAGTGACATCATGATGCTATTGAGTCTGTCCATGGACATGGCAGGCCCTTTGTATACAAGTATTCAGGTCTTCTTTTTAAAGAGACCAAAAAGTATACTGAGTTACATGCTGGGCTACTAACGTCAGGGTCAGCAGTTTGCACCCGCCAGCCCCTCTGAGGGAGAAAGGCGAGATTTTCTGGAGCCATGGAAGAGACGGGTGCCAGAACGCCGGTATCCAAAGGGGTGCTTGCAGGAGTGGGACATGGCTCTAGGTTCTCATACGTATCTGACCAAACCCTCCAAACTTCCGTGATCAGTAAAACTTTCAGAGATTTCAAAAACCTTTTTTTGTTTTACATATATTGCCTCATAAAAGATATTTGTAACATACAAAATAAAAGACCATCTCAAACTATTATAAATACCTTTATATTTAATACATTTATTTCTAATTTATTACAGACTGGCAAGGCTCTCATGGCTGACACGGTCCCTGAACTAGAGATTAAAATGAACCATCTTTCTCTTTCTATAAATAAAAAAGCTTACTGTAAAATTGGCTTCACTTTACCTTTTCTCACAAGAAACGCCATCGATATCCATGCTCTGGGACCGTGAAAGAGACTGAGACTGTGTTTCAAGGCTATTAGAGGGTGAGCTGCTGAGAGAACTGACTCCTTCACTGCTCTGGCTTCGGTGGGCTACTCCTGAAGAGACAACACATGCACATCAGGTCCCGTGAGAAAGAAGTCCACCATTATTTGAAATGATAACAGTAAGTGCCCATGATCTACGTTCATACCCCGAGAATGCCCAGAAAGATCAGAAAACTGCTCTACATGTTGATACAGCATTAAAATCTTAGAAACATTAGCAAGGAAATACCATTTTTCAGAGTAATTTTTTTCTGTGAGCAGCAACATATATACATATATATATATATATATACATACATACATACATACATATACACACACCTGACACCTAAAACTGATTCATTCCCTTCTCAATTCAAACAGCAGTTCTTGGATACACATTAGTTTTCATGGTAGTCCAGAAAAATCATGATGTGGATACACCAAAACAACTAAGCCAGATTAAGAGACAGATACGGGGATGGGTGGACGGACAGCTATACAAAGCAAGGTGACTACCATGTTAATGGGAGGGTCTAGACGGTGGTGTTCACTGCACAGA